TAATCCAATTTCTAGCCAGAACTTGAAATTTTGCACACTGGAGCACCAACTCGGCGAGTACATGAACTGGACTCGTCGAGTTGGTCTGTTTCTGAGTGGACTCGGCGAGTCACCTAGTGGACTCGGCGAGTTCACCAGTCAGAATGCAGAAAAATGAAATTTTCAACTTTGAAAACCAATAAACATCAAGTATAATATAAAACAATCTTAGGCTCTGATACCACTGATGGGTTTTGAGCACTCTAACAACCTTAAGGTGAACATACAACCCTAAATTCTTTGGATCTATGTCTTCTCTAATTATACATGCAATTTGATTTTCCAAAGCATTATCCTAACTAATATGCAAAACATGGGTACTTGTATAACAAAACTAGTTAGATTACATACCTTTTCTTGTAGCTTGTTTCCTTGGACCTTTAAGAGCCTAGCACCCCAAATGTGATGCCTCAAATGCTTCACACAACACCACCAACAATGGAGGACTTGAGAGAGGATTACTTGCACACAAAATCGGCTATGCTCTTCCAAAGATCACTAGTGGCCGATTACATGTGCTAAGGGGCTTCTTATATAGTGTGTCAAGGATTAGGGTTAAATCCATGTAAACCCTAATGTGCATGACCTTTCATCTTACTTAGGCTCCATGGGTTAAACCTCAATGGACTATCCATGGACTACCATGTTGGTTTAGTCCAACTCAAATAATCATTGGCCCACACTATAAGAATCATTGATTTACCAAATCCACCCCTTACATTTAATTAGTCTCTTTTGATCACTAAATTAATTCTTGACCAATACTAATTAAATAATATGATTTCATATTAATATATTAGAACTTATAATATATTAATAAATCATAAATAACCTCTTCTCAAAAGTCCATCCTTACAAATTGTTCTAGTGAAATGCAACCCAAATGGACCATGCTACTTTCGAGTCAAGTACATACCAAAGATAGTTATGGACTTAGACACCTTATCCAACAAAGACATCTTTCTAGCTTCTCCCTTGGGCATGGTATCAGCTAGTAGCTTCCACCAACTTAGTACTCCTACTTTAACAGTGTAACCGAGAGGGCGGTTTTCTGTTTGTTGCTGTAGTCGCAACTTTCAAACATCGTCTCTATCTCGGAGATCCAATCCATGACTTCTATCGGTGTTGGGCTTCCAAAAAGACTCGGTGGTTTGGATGCCATGAAATCCTTGTAGTTGCACCCACGTCCATCATTTCCTCCATTGGGATGGTTTCTTCTACCCCACTCGTGGCTCAGCTTGACTGACATTCTAACTATAGTTTCCTTCATCTGACAGTTCATGTTGTATGATGGGTACAGTAGGTTCATCCCTATTATCCTGCAACATTTGTCTCATCTCCTCTCTTTGTTCGGCCATCATAGCCCGAATCATTGCTTGGACTCCTGTCATCGTGATTAGCTCGGGTGCAGCTGCTACTTCCGGTGCACGCTCAATCACAGGTCACTGATTAGCATTAGCATTTCCAGTAGCGTTTCCCCAATTTGCTTCGGGTTCTCGCCATGTCGATCTATACACCAAAGTAGGCGAATTTAGATCTTTATTTACGATAGATGTTTAAATCCTCCTGAATCTCCGAAAAGTTACATGACAGTTCTAATATTCTAGTCGAACGTTTAGAAATCTGAACACATAAAGTTTCCAGATCCGGTCAGCAATAGACCATAGATCCGATCAAATAATAGCATGTAAGGCATCTTTATAGCTATAACATAAATCATTTAGCACATAAAAGCAATTTAGGCGTCTTTCCTAAAATAAGCTAGTGCTCGTATCTAAAATATAGCAGACACTCATCTCACAATCATCGCTTAACATTCTAAGTTTAAGACTAGAAATCCTACAAATTCCTAGTTCGCTTAAACTAATGCTCTGATACCAACTATGACATCCCCAATTTCACGGCCAGAAAAGACCGATTTGTTTATGCTTTATTTGAAAATCAGAGTATACTTTTGAAGAAATATGTTGCGCAATTTGTTCCCAAAAATATGATAACTAAATTATCAAATCATTACCGAAGGAATGGGTTTTCATTATATTAAAAACACTGGGATGACATTGTCAATACAGTACATAAGCATAAATAGAAATAGTACAGGCCTTACAACATCTATTATTCTAATGACCTATAATCCATAGATCTCTCATCAGATCGACACTCCTGTGCTCTTTTGCCACTACCTATAATGCAAGAAGCTGAGTGGTTCAGGCTTGGGAACCCGGTGAGTACATAGGGTTTTCAACCCACAATAATTAAGTTTATTAATTTCATCAATCAATCAACCCGGTTACCCGTTCCGGTTATCCTCACTTTCTGTCCCTAAAGCATCTAAATTAAGGAACCTAGCCTAAGGATTTTTCATCGGGGTGACAACACTGCATAGGGGATTCCTAAGAAATATATGTCAAAAAGGCAACCATGAGAGGGATGGAGTACACTTGGTGAACACTTAGTTCAAAAACACCTACAGGTTGCGAGCATGCCAGCGTTCCACTAGATTGACTAGATTAGTCTGTGGTCGTCATCTATACTCCGCTAGATGACTGAATCATCTTAAACATCGAGGCCTCTCATCATTTATTTCATCATCTATATCATCTACCCATCTTCACCCATCATAATTATATGTACAAAATACATATACAGTTTAAATCAAATAAAACATGTATATTTTGTTCATCTAGCATAGATATCAAGAACACAGATAATATGCACACATAGCACATAATTTATATTAAATACTCCATATATATGTGTAAGATGAAAGTAACTATGCACTCACTTGTTAAAGTGATGATTCCAAACTCGGGCAGCGCTTCGCTTCTAACAATTTTATTTTCTTTCGACGAAACCTAGTATCATTACCACTAGATCTTAGTCTAATATTTATTGCGACAAATTATTAGCTCAAGGTCTACGAGCTATATTGTTTTATAAGTGTTAAACAATACTTTTCAACAACTATGTACAGACAGGGGCCATACATGAAACACCGGAGGGCATGACCATTTTGGCATTTAAGCTGTTCTGAAATCCAACAACCCTATGGGGCCCTTCAAACCAGATTTCCCATACCGTGAGCAGTTAAAATGTATTATAATAACACTTTATATTTTATAATACTTAGCACATATATTTTTTATAGGTTCATAATATTACGATAATGAACTTAAACATAAGCTATACTTAAAGTATGGTAAGCATAACTTACTTAAAAGGGGGTTTAGCTAGGAGTCGGGCTCTGTGGGGGCAGAATTTCTAAGCCGAAAGCTCGTCTTCTAGAAGCTTTCTGGTGCTCCGGGACTCGCCTCTAGCACTTGGGAAGTACTAGGGAATGGGAGGGGTTAAGAGGAGTAATTGATAGAGAAAGAATGGGAGAGGTGTGAAGAAAATGGGAGAACTTCACATCTATTTATAGGTTGGACCCTTCAGACTACGCTGGGTGTAGCCTCGGAGTACGCTGTGCGTATGAGGGCCAGATGTCAACATCGCATGCGAGGCCGTGGGTAGAAAATGAAGGCTGAGATTTAGCCACGTGTCAGTCCTCGGATTAGCCTATTCTCAACTTTTAAATTCCATAACTTTCGCATACGAGCTCCGTTTTTTACGTTCTTTATATCCACGTGTAGGTGGCGACGTTATCTACAACTTTCGTTTAGACTCTGTCGGCTAATTTTTACTTTATTTTTAAAGTTATATTTTAACAGACTTAGGCAGATAAAGTCCGTTAAAAATTCATAACTTTGTCATCCGACGTCCGTTTTCGTCTGTCTTTTTATCGTTGAGTTTCTATTAATGAGATATTCAATTCTCATTTAGGTTGTGTCGGCTAGAAATCGATCGATCTAAAATTCGAATTTCGGGCTGCATACTGCTATGTCAAATCTTAGAAAAATCATAACTTCCTCATACAAAGTCAGATTTGGACGTTCTTTTTATGCACGCTCTCGGTTTAACGTATACTACGACTTTCGTTTAGATCGCTAAGGCTAAAAGGTATTTTATCAAAAATTCACTTTTTATGATTCCCGGTGTCGTGTCGGTTTAGTCGCGAAACTTCAATTGGTCATAACTTTTTCGTATCGGATTTTAGCATTCCTTATATCCCCGAAATCGTTGTTGCGGCCACTTCAACTTTCTTCATAGATATTGGGTCTATCTATTTTTTTATTTTTGGCGCATATTTTTATTATTATTTTATTACATCGTTATAAGCACGTATATTGCACATAAATCACATAAATCACATAATACTCAAATAATTCTTCTTCATTACTTCAAAATAGGTTACAATTTTTTACCCTAACTATTACATCATCATAATAATGTTTAGCCTAGAAACACGGGCGTTACAGATTCCTTTGATTTGTTTCCAAAGAAACTGATGACGGCCATTCCTAAAATTGAAACCCTATAATTTGTTTACTATAGAAACGACTCTCCTCTTTGAAAGGATAATACCTTTTTATCTCTCATTTTACTTCATACAAACTTAGAATCTTCTAGTAATTTGGCTTACGTTTTCTGTCCCTAGATTCGTAAGTCTCCCCTTGGGATTATCCTAGGTTGAGTGATCATTATAAATAAGATAATAAATTTCTTAGTGTATATTATACGAATGGACCTATAGGAAGATATATATTAAATTGATGGCAGAAAACATAGTTGTAGCTAACCATGGAAATGTGAAAGAAATGCATATATGGTTGACCTTTGTTATCGTACATTATAATTGACCACTTAAATCATAGAAACACATATGCACATGTAGGTGACCTGTCACCTTTCATTCTGTCCCCACATACAATTCATTTTCGTCTCTTTATATCGAATATTTTTATGTATACGTGTATACTCTTTCAAACACAACTTTGTTTTTTTTTTTCGAAGTCGTGCTTATATAAAGGATCATCAAGATCAAAATTCTGAAAATCCCAAAACACTCACTAAATCTCACAATGAAAATCGACTCGAAATCCCCTATCAAATCTTCGACTCCTAAAATAATCCATGACTTGAAAGTTGTTATTCATGACACCATCACTATCTTCCCTTCTCATAAGACAGAAAAACGGTCGATGTTCTTGTCAAATATCGACCAGACTCTCAACTTCAACATTGATATTGTCCATTTTTTTGTGATGGACACTCGATATCTGAAAAAAATTGTTGTAGAAAAACTTAAATCTACATTGAGTAAGGCGTTGGTAGCATATGATTTCTTGGCGGGCAGATTAAGGTTTAATCTTGAGTCACAACGATTTGAGATTGATTGTAATGGTCTCGGCGCCTTATTTGTGGTAGGTTCGAGTGAATTCGAGTTAGGTGAGATTGGTGACTTGGTGTATCCGAACCCCGGGTTTAGACAACTGGTTCAAAAGAGCTATGATGACATGCCTATACATGACCGACCACTTTGCATTTTGCAGGTACACTTAGTTTTCTAATAATACGATGCTAAAATCTAATATCATGATGTGAAAATGGAGATGATAATGCATGTAATATAAGTAGAATAAATGAATAAAGCTAATTGTTAAACTAAATGAAGTAGAGTCATGGATGTCTTGCAACTAGATCTGGCAATTTCAGACACGAAGACATGAATCTGTGAGAGACACGACACGACACGAATACACGATACGAATACATCTTAAAAATTGAGATAAAGCTTATTTCTCATCGTGTAATCGTATCGTGTCAAATTCGTGGCTGACACGTTTTCATGACACGAATACACGAATTGTCAGGTCTACTTGCAGCCTCTTTTTTGCCACGCAACCCTCAGTTTTTTGTCACATCAAGGAAGTGGTTATATATATATATATATATATATATATATATATATATATATATATATATATATATAGGTTCAAGTATTCTAACTAATTATTGTGCGGATATCGTATGCTATGAGAATTACTAAGAGAATAAGTTGTTTAGCAATGCGAATACGTTCAACCTTACAAAAATATAGTCATTTTCATGCATTCTCGCTAATATTATTTATTTTTGTTCTCACACACATCGTTTTTCACTCATTTTCATTCTGACAGAATACGACCCAAAAAACATTCTGACAGAAATTAGAATAATAATAATAAGTGTATAATAACCTTATAGACGATTTAATTAGTGAGAATGTGTGTTAATGACAATAATTATGTAAGATTGAACGTATTTATATTATCAAACAACATATATTCTTTATCATTCTCATAGCATACGATATCCGTACAATAATTAGTTAGAATAGAATAAC